GAACTCCACGAAAGCGTACGTGCCCTCAGCTGACATCCTCACTTCTCTCACCGCACCAGTCGGCAACGAAGCAGCGTACCTGAGGGAAATTAAACTCAAATAAGTCACTGGCCGACTTGCGCTCACTTCTGCTGGTATTCTGGTAGAGCCGATAAGACGTTGTCGAAGAAGGCCCGTATGTTGACCTGGTTCGCCTGTCCTTGAGCTAGGTTACCCACATACAACTAAGATCAAGAGGCAGTGAGGAAAAATGAACTCGCATGAACTGGATTGCTTACGCTGCGTGATGTTCCCATCTTAGCTGTGATCCATGTGTGTTTCGTCTTCTTTAGCTTCACATTCTTATTTCGACGCTGTTTGTCGGCTTTCTTGGTACTATTCGACTTCTTTCGTATAAGCCCACCCAATCTACTGGGGGTGGATCGCATGGTGTAGCTGTAATCCTCGTTTTTCATAGGTAGACTCCGCATCATCAGTTTGAGCCATGGAGAATATTCCGATCGTAGTGCCCCCTTACCAACCAAGAATGCCAAGTTTTCCACAAATCCTCTCCAATACATATCACGACCTGAAGATGGCTCTCGTAAGGAATACGCCACTTCAGAGCCCATCGACGCTGATGATGCTGCCTTCCCCATGGCCACAATGCTCTGGATAACTTTGGGAAGTGTAGTATTCAGTTCTTTGCAAGAGCACTTGATAGCCATCAGAAGGAGAATCCAAACCGTCGTTGCGTCATTCAAGTCCCACAAAACGAAGCCCGTCAACGACTCCATCACATTCCCCGGGTTATCTCTGCCACGCTCACAGTAGGCTTGGTAGGCACCCGTATCAAGGGAAAATAACGGCTCGAATATAGTGTTGCACCCTGACCGTGCATCTGATACCTCTTCAGACGATGCACGCTCCCTCCACGCGTCATAACAAGCCGTAATCTCTCGGTTACCCGGCTCAAAAACTAATTCGAATATCCTCGTCCAAACTTTGTTTTGAATCGCGTGATAAGTTAATGCCTTACTCCGACCCTGAACGATAATGTGGCTTAGCAAATAGTCCGGAATGTATTGCAGCCGCCCAAAGTCATATGCCACCATCTCATGCTGAAACTGATAAGTCCCACCCATTTCCTGAACGGCGGGTCGTTTTGTTCTCAAATCCGCCCAT